AAAAACGGTGAGGGTAAGGGACAAAGAAGAGAACATGTTGTAAGGATGGCTGTGTTAAATATGAGTACAGTTTGCGTCAACGATTTGCCTTTCAGATGAGCTTAAAGGCAGTGTCCGGGCAAAAAGTCGATTTTGGATTTTGGGATTACCCGGGTCTATTCGCTGGTAAACACGAAAATCCACACTGGAGAGCGCGAATGGCGAAAAAGGGTTCTAATGCAGGAGGGGAACTAGCAAGTGGTCGAGGTGTTTCCCACTGTAAATCCACACTTCCAGCTTCCGTATCTTCTCGATTCCGCTAGCCACCCCGACATCGTCACAGGCCAAGTGCGAACGCGTGACATGAAATCGGAAGCGAGTAGATCGTTCCGAAAGTTGGAAGCGTGAGTTTACAGTGGGTAGACCATGAGCGTTCAAGTTTGCTACATCGAAGATCGCTCCGCATGCCTACGCGCTGTAGATGCGTAAGTGCTACGGAAAAGGGAGCACGTGGTTGATACATACTGTACTCTTTATTTGTAACCCATTCAAACATCCCAAAATTTCTCCTAAACAGATAAGGTTGGATACGACTTTGATAATTTTAATTAATTCAATCATTTCTTCAAAGTTCAGATTCAAAATCTAAAAACAATTCGTATTTTTTACAAAAGCATTTTTTTCGTCCCGAAAAGGATACTGTAAGCACAAGTAGATTACTGATTCAGCTGATATTATTGTCAGTTATCGCTCTGTCAAAAATGATCAAGGTTGATGACACAACAATTATGGTAACAATTGCATAAGATCACGTCGCCTGCTTGCCTAGGTCTGCGTGCATTTGCAATCCGATTTAGTACGAAAATAGGCAAAAAAGAAAGGGCTAAGGGAAGAGGGGAAGTGGGAGAGGAAGAGGAAGCAATTTAGAGGCGAAATAACCTTGTTGTGCACTTTTTGTTGGATATGAGCGGTGGAAGAAGAAGAAGTAGAGTTGCAGAATTGGTGGGTGAGAGCGGGGGAGGTTGGGTTAGTTCTAAAAGCGGTGATGTCCCAAAAGGAGCACAATCTTCCAAATAGACGAATCAGAGAGAAGATAGAGAGAGAAAGAGAGCAAAAGCAAGTTAACACTTTCATTTTGTAATCTAACCACTTCTCTCCCGTTCTTGATCACTAGCAACCAAAAAAGATTTGTAACCATTTGCACTTGTCGCTCAGTCCTTTTTTCAAGTTGTTGTATCCAGTAGAGCAGATAACATATAAACAGTGTTTGTATACTGCGATCTGTTGAGATATCTGATTGGGGAGACCTACTATGAGCGGAAAAGATAAGAATGGAAACGTAGGTCGAATTAAATCTTATTGGAGGCCATGTAAGAGACGAAAGTATTAAAAGTTCGATCAGCGATACCAAGTACAGATTGTAATTGATATGACCTGCCCTCATGACTTTGAAGCAGATGACGCACTTTTTATTTGCGCATGACATACTTGGGCGAAATGGGAAATAAGATAGAATCTAAACTTCTGACCCGTCACATGCGACCATAAAGATCAACAAGTTTTGTGACGAACGGATAAACAGATCATACATAGTTGTTTACGGTGAACTTGATACCACACACTTAATCTTAGTCATAGGAATGTTGCCAACGAACAAGTTTGCTATGCACTCTGGGCATCAAATGCTTTAGCGAATCATAGGTTAGGTAAAAAGTAAAACATCTGACGTAATAAACCGTCGGATTGTGTACTACTGACTGATGCAATATCCAATCAAATAGAAAAAAAAATTGGAGAAATGACTGGATTTGAGCAGATTCTAAACTCACATGCGAAGTGTAATACGCATATCAAGTTACAAATGACTTAACAATACATTACGATGATTTACTATTTTTATTGCTGCGCAAATACGACAGCTTTCTTGAAAACAAGAATTTTTTTCTTTTATTGAAGAAGCACCAAATATAGTGGGCTGTTTCGCAAGTTATTACCGTTTCCCAACATCAACTTCGATCCACAACCCCTTTCCAAATTGGTCATTGCGCAAGCATTAAAATGGTCACAAAAAGATTGGGGGATCCCACCTCAGCCACTATTGGATACGCTCCCCGATTCTCAGTAACATCACTATCAGACATTTGCAAGTCTTTTTATTTGTATTGTTTATCACATTTTGCAACGTCATCCTCACTAACCTGCCGCTATAGCTTGAGAAATAGTAGTCGCTCAGTATTTCTTGCTTGAACTATGTTGACAAGAACGTTCTCTCGCATTATCTGCTACTGCGGCATGGTGTACACAGGAAAGCGGATAGGGTACTACTATAAAGCAAACCGCCAAGAATCTCACTGGAGATCTGGATAAATCATGATCTACATAGAGTTTGAACCGAACATTCAACACTTATGGTACACCACTGTTGCATCTCCGCTCAGAAAATCTACATATAAATACAACCCAAATTCGGTAAATTTGTTAGTCAGTAAGTAGGTAGCTTATAGACTCTTTTGTTTGTGAGCCGATGAGGCTAAAATTTGCTCCCCTGCAAATAAGGCACGGCAGAAAAGATAGGCTACTTTTTGCGACTATTCGCTAAGCCCTTTAATCGATTTATTGATTTGTTTGCTTACATGTAAGGGAATAAACTTATCAACCATTCCTGGATCATAGTTGGGTAAGCGAGGCGGTAAAAATCATTTACATTTTACGGCGAGAAGGATCCGGTGCTTCGAATCAGCGAGATGTATTGCAGAAATGCTTCTTTCAGATATGGAAGAGGAATGGTGACTTTCGACGCTTTTGGATCCTGGTCCTTTCACCGGCATTAAAGCCCGCTTCCCGGGCAAGACCGGGGACATCATTTAGTTCCTAATAAATCTTGAGTGGTCACCTTTATATAGACGCATGTCAACATTTACAAAGACACTTTGTTGCCTAATTTACGAGTACAGACGCACCTTTTTTATTTCTAGATTAGACCAGCCTGAACACACCAAATAAATCCGCGAGTAAGGGAGTGTACCCTGTACAGTGGTGCGCATTGTCTGAGATCGTGCAGCGCAACTTTTACCGAAACACAGCGAGGCGGCTGAGCGGCTCGATCAAAAAATCGAAAAAGGTGCGTCTTGCACTCTGTTAGGATATTTTATTACGGTAGAGAGAGGAAACTGGCATCATACATGTAAATAATAGAATAATTTTTGGAATTTTTTTAATAATCAATTTAGCCTCGTAAAAATTTTCTTCGGGGTTTTGGGCCCGCAAAAATTCTAGAAAGCATACCAAAAACTTTTTCGAATGCGTGGCTTGGCTAAGATCACGCATTTTCATGAGAAAAAATCCCCCCCCCCCCGACTGGGAATCCGGTACGCTACTGGTAGCAAGTTATTTTTCGCACTACAAGCTGAATGTAGATAGATACCCACTATGCTATTACGAGCGCAAAAATGAGATCATGGATAAAAACAATACTTATCAATATATTTTCTTCTTCTTCATTTAGAAAAAAACTGACTCTTTTTGAAGATATGTGGTAAGAAGTGCTGAACTATCTTATTGAAGCATCTTTGAGCAGAAAATATATTGAAGTGCTGAATTAATGCTATTGAGGGATCTTTGAGCAGAAAATTGTGACTGTGTATATAGTGCCGTTTCTCGACTTTGTACGTTAGCATACAGAATAGAAGACTATGATTAGACTACGCTAATTAGAAGAACAGAAAGCCAATTTTAAGGCAAGTAGAGTAAGTGCGTGCTGCAGTTTCAATTTTATAATTTTTTGCAAAGCTTGATCTTTGATGTTAGTTAATCTATTATTATCCACTCTAACTGTATTTGTCGAGTTATTGCATGATAAACACTGTTGTAAATAAACATAAGTTATCTGCTAGTCGGTTGAAGAAGTAATCTGTGATGCAAGTAAGAAAAGCCTGTTTTTGCTATTGTGCGTGTTCTACCGTCTTTGTTCACAGGTTATCACAATGATTTTCTTTAGTAAAAATCACCTATTTCGAAAAGTACGTATACGACCTATTACAGAAATAAGTCCTTTTCACAAGCACACACTAAGAAGTCCGCAATCTTGGTACCGTAAGGATGTTCGGTTGTCGATATACAGGTAGATAGAGATCCCAAGCTCTTTTAGCGATACTAACACAGACTGTAGCCCATTTTAAGCATGATGCATGATGTTCGTTGCGCCCCAAACGCAGCGCACAAGTGTCCCTAGCAGTGGAAGCAGGCTGGACTTCGTTTTTGAAACAAAAATCAAAGGGGATATCGTAAAACGTACTATGCAGGCATATGACCATATTCAGACGAACACAGATTCAAGAAGATGTTATTACACGAATATTACACAATTGGCATGCGCCATCGTCTCTTGCGAAAAGCGCGCGCAATTTAGATGTAAAGACAAAATAAACGTGGTTTGTTTGCGACCGAATCGCTATGATATGACCCAAATTAGGACCATATGCTTCGCTGAAGAATTACGTAACAAGTAAGAACTTTTGAAAACTTATGTGAAGTAGTACTTTTATCGAAATCAGCCGTTCAGATGATTACCATACAAAACGCGATCGTACGAAGCATATATTTCTGCAAGTTCTCCCTGGTCAAGAAACTATCCATAAGCAAAATGACATTAAAGTTGCTTTCCCTTGTTATTTTTTTGCCTTCATTTTGTTAATGAAACCGTGTTGTTATATGCCGCGCCCCTATGCCGAACCCCTATGCATCGCCAGCATTCCGCTCCCCTCTTTTTTTCAGTTCTATGTTCAGTCCTTACGATACATGTAAATATGACAACGAAAAATCAATATGTCGATAAGAGTTATAGCATTTTCGAAATCCAGAGACTTCGTCTTTGGAAATAGAAACCGACTTCTGCCAAGCCCTGGTCCCAAGGAGGTTCGCGCATCTGCGGGCGTTTGCGCTTCACTTCAGCGACATACGCCAAAGGCAAATTGCTGACTTGCAGCTGTTCCTTCCGTGTTTGAAATTGCAAAACAATTTACCTGCACAAGTTTCTCAAAAGCATCTCCAAAGGTTTGCTGTTCCACATCCCCTACCACTGCAGTATGCTTACATACCATTTTTGGGCTCGACTGTGGCGTTCCACGTGGCGTTGGGAATGGAAAACAATTGATTATCTGTAAAACACAGTTTTCACATTTGTTGTAGAGAAAGGGTGTTGAATATTAGATATTGTTGAGCTAATGCGTAACGTGATAAAAGAAATAAATACTCCTATGCAAATTTTAACAGAGCATGTGTGCAAAGAATAAACCGATGATTCCGGAAGACGTTGTTTGGAAATCAAATTTGCTAAGATCTACGAACTATACAAGATGTCATTCAAGATCGAAGAAACTGGAGCATAAGTTGTACATAAGCAGCATAGCCATGCATAACCAAAACGGGATAAGTGGAAAGGTGAAAAAAAGCTCAGCCGGTCAATAGGGTCCCACCTTTTAATTTCCTGTTCAGTTTCCCTTCCCCCACTCCACCCTTCTCTACCCGGAGATGACGTCATAATAAGAATTATGACTCCGCCTATTCTCCACCTCTTTTTGATAATCATTAGTCATCTCATTTTTGACCTCAATGTTTGATTCTGGAGCTTAGAGTAGAATGAAGAACGCTTTCACAAACTAACATAATACTTTTGCGCTGCTTTTTCTAAATAGAGGAAAAACAAGTTCAGCTTTGTTGGACAATGTGTGCAAAGCATCCTTGGCAAATAGTTGATAAGTACTACCAAAAATTGCATATTGGATACAAAATAAATATGAAATAATTTAAGCTTTGGACTGGAATCACAAACGCCATTCATTTTATACCTGAATAAGTTTCTCTTGTGACGGAGGTCCCTCGAGAAGTGGTGGATCTCGATCGCAAACGCTTGGCGTCGGTATTTCCTCCCATTGACAAGCGCAAGACTCTTGACGAGTCAGTCTGGAAAAGCATGACTAAAAAGATTGCCTTGAAAGTAATCCTTTCGATCCACCATTTTGTGAAGTTTTCAACAATTCATTCAGTTAGGTCAAGTAGTATATCGTTCGACTTTTACTATAATTTTATTTCGGGATTGAAGTAGCAGAAGGAGCCGAGTACACGTGTATATATTTGCTAGAGACTCGCATCCAACTTCTTATCTCTACTCTGTCCCTCGATAAAGTGCAAGATGACTTGACATTTGAACAAAGCGTCCATTTCAGCATCGTTCTCCTGTCCCTTACCAGCGCCTCGTAGAGATTGGTGCCATTTTTGTGCGAATCACTGCAGATACATACTACATCAGCGTAAAAACGATCTTTCGTGAAAGCCCCTCATAGACTGTGGCCGCATGACACTGCCAAAGTGGTCTCAATATTATCTTGCCTGAGTCACAAACAATGAGTTTTAATCTTCAGATTTTCGCTCGAGCTCGTATTCGTTCAAAGTCTCGGCGGAAAATGTTTTGCTGCCATTTTGCTCTATATAACTATATAACTGGTGCTTTGGAGAGCTTCTGTTAGTTTCTTTGTCTCGATGCTTTCGTTCTTGCTCGTGAACGCTATCCATATGAATCATTGTTTCACCCTAAAAACAACCAAGGTTTCTTATCTTACGCGAGATCAATCACCCAAGACAACTACCGAATTCGTCATCTTCCAACACCGAACAGCATTGAGAGACCTCATACCTTTCAGCTGTAGTCACTACGTGTTCAATCAATTCGCTTATGCCCTCTGTGGAATTAATTGCTAATCATACTTAATCTGCTACTTTCTTTCAAAACATCAAATAATATTTATTGTAGTCGTGCAAATCTTGGACAGGAGAATGCAGCCAAGACTAGGCTGCAGAAGTGTTTTCAACCAGACTCCCTGCCATTTCCCATTGCCAAGGCGGAAGAGGGATGAGGGCCTCGCACCCGAGAACGGGTGTTTGAAAGTTTTGAAAGTTAGTTACATATGTTGAAAAAAATGTGCAAACGACTTGTTTTTACTTGTAAATAAGTAAAATAACTTTTGAAAATTCACGTTAGATTTTATGGAAGAAACTCTTTTTCAGAAATTCGGGGTAATGGCCCCGGAAAATTTTTGGGAAGCATCCCAAAAGTTTTTCTGAAGTGATTTTCGACCCCTCCCCGTCCCCGAACGAAATCCTGGGTACGCCACTGTCAAGTACATATTATATCATCACAAGTACACTTAGTGGACATCCTTGGTCTCCCTTCATAATTTTCTTGGCACTTAATCTAATGCTTCAATTTGAGAACAATCCTTTGTAAATGTATAATATGATGTTCGTGTTTGTTTGTATAAATAGCGTGATAGTTATGTTATTGACCTTCGCAGTAACATTTTTTCTTCATTCATCCCAAGTCAATAAGCTAAATCAATTCGAAAATCCCAAAATTTATGATGTTACCAACTGCATTTTCATGAGATTTCCTAGATTTCCTATAATGATTATGGGGAATCACGCTACTAGTGACCTGCTAATACGCGATCATTGCTTCTGACCTTTCATTTACCAGAATTATCAGGTAAGAGACACAATTTATGGGTGACAATCTTCAGTAGAAAAATTTGTTACTGACATTGAAGAGCGCGAAAAGAACGATGAAACAGCAACAAAGGCTCATTCGTGGTAAGAGCGGTTTACCAGTTATTTTACGGTCTTAATGTTAATCTAGTCATACGATAATCAAATTCAAGAAGAACGAAATTTAAAGGAGCCTAAAAAGGACTAGATAACATTAGATAATGAGCGCGAATCGATCAGAAAGCAGAGTAGCGATAGCGGACAACCTTAGGTTCGCAAATAGTCATGCGATACATATGCAATTGGTTTTTTCAAAGTAAGCAATTGTAATCTATCCGTACTCAACTCAAGAAAAGAGGTGGTGAACAAAAAGTGATGAGAACTCTAGTATGCACAAATGTCCTTTCTCACAAAACGGGTAAAAACGATTACAGGAAGGTAGCACGCAAAAATGAAGACGTGATGCTACTTACTTAAACTTACGGCCGAGGAGGCACATATAAAGTCGTGTGAGTCTTTGCCGTTCGTTCCAAAATGTGGCCGTGCGGCGTTTTATCACCTCTACGTCTCACTTGGTCGTAGTTTTTGCCAACTGAGCTCGCTTGTTTAGTGGATAGAAACGTTATCAAGGTCTATTTGCGTAGTACGGTAGGAATTGTGGTATTGGTTTGGCGCAAATAACCAATTTAGCTTTGCTTTGTTTTTATCCGCAGTACTGTACAACCCAGTGCTCGTGACATATTCACTGACACAAGCTTGGAGCCTGATATCATAACTCATAACTGATCAAGTAAAACTTGAAATGGGCCCAAGGTGAGAATTTGCGAGAAAGTCACAAGCTTTCTACAGCCTGTGTCAGTAAAGTCTCTCTTTTGCTCATGTTGCGGCTCGGTGGGCTCAGCACCCCCTTGCTCGCTCAACTGCCAACACAATCCTGCACCTACTCCTGCACACTCTAGCGGTTGGCCATTCCGGTGCGTCCGACAAAGACCCGCTGGGTGGCAATAAACCATAACAACAAATGCGCGACCAGATTATTTAAATTTATCTAAATAACAAACACTACACTACAAAGAAACTAAACTACGAAAGTCCCAAACTACGAAAAGGAAGAAATACGGGACGAGTCCGCCTCGTCCCAAGTCGCCGATCATCACCAACTTAAATCTGAACGTAATGTCAGGGAATCCCGAGGATCGACCGCTTACTCGCCTCCGCATAGGACAGGTACGAGCCCTCTCCACTCCCGATACAACACTGAACAAAAGCTCCGAACTTTCCTCGCGCGTTAGCGCGGCACAATCCAAAAGCTCTAACAATCACTCTGCTCGCAAGAACTTCATCCACGGGAGCTTGCTGGGGTAGCTGCCAAGCACGATCAATAAGAGTACGTGAGAAATCAAACGAATTTGAAAACGAGGTCACCGAAATCAAAGAGGCCTATGGCGCGCGTTGCGCGGCCTTATATACCCCTCGACTTGGCAACGCGCCCAGTAAGGAGAGGTCCGGGCGCGAAAGCAATACCGCGCCCGATCCAGCGGCTTGCAGTGCTCCCGGCTCCTGAATCGAGGAGTGGCTTGCATCGCGCGAGCCGCGACAGCTCATGTATCACGCATCTGGAACGCGAGGGCTTTTGCTGACCTGCAATCAATAGAGCCAAATTGATTGTTTAAGCCGTAACATGCGCAAACGTGGGTGAAGCTTTACCATCACAACTGCGCCGAGAAAAGTTAGTGCGAGTGGTTGACGCAAACTGTAGGGCAAGGCGCTCCACCGTATCTAACTCTCCAAAAGTCTAAAACAACACGTTTGACGTGCATTCGCCTTCAATAAACGTGCAATTCTTCGAAAACACTAAGCTTGTTCTTTTCTACTGTACGTACTTATTTTTTAGAAGAACAGCCTTTGTTTGACGTCATAATGTCTTATCTGATTCTGCGATAACACCGAGTCAGTGGTGTCGCAGCGCTGCACTGAAGGGCAAATGCTGTGTCCTTGACGATAACAGAAAATTTCAATGAAAACTTGTCGTGACCGCAACAACTTACTTGATTTTCTTAATCTCTGAACGAGATGGTTTGCTGGCCTTTTTGCTTTTGTACACTTCATCGCTGCTATTACTACAAATACGTGGTAAAAACAAGGAAGAAATAGAACAAGAATGAAGGTACTTACGATTTAATGAGCCAGCAACCGTGCGGACATCGTAAGGGACGGCTGGCACTCCCACCCATTACCCGCTGAAATAATTCTTGATGAAGTGATCGCTTGTTCAGTTACGTGCATACAATACAATAGCGCTAATCGGATTCCTACAGAGATAAATGCTCATGTTCAATAAAATAGTATGGACACTAAATTATCCCCAAATATGATACAATGAGATCCGTCACAAAAACAATCCAGGCTATTGTGGTGAATGACTGTCAATCGATGCTCACTGTTTCCAAGCCAAAATCCAGAAGAGGAAGGGGTGAAGCAGATGATCGATCGCGCAGACATAAATGGCTACAACGCGACCACAGCTTTTTCTGCTAATCCTTATTTTTCTTTGATTTTAGCCATTAAGAGGGAAATTTAGCGATATAAGTATAATGAAAACGACCGCGAAGAAGAGGGAGAGGGTGGGAAATGTAAAAAAGATGCCTAGCAGATATATTTGATTGCATGCAACGTGCTGAGATACACGTACCTCATACGGTAGAAAATCGACCGTTCTTCGTGACCCAGTTTTGGAAAAACAGAATTGTCGTATGTTTATTGTAGTAGGTTTGGCGAAGTACTCATTCAATGCACAATCCTTACGATCTTACCCTACAAAAGTGGAACGAAATGTAATTTTTGGAATGACAGTTTGATTTTGTTATTTATTAGATATTCGTGCCCCTCGAAATTAGCAGGTATCGAGGCATGGGTTTGACCTACAGCACTGAATTTAGGAGAGATGAAACACAATAAGCAGAAAGATAAGGTGCGAAGTTGCACAGCAACGTAGACAAAGGCATGGTACTGTCGAGACCACTCAACAGGAAAGTGACTGTTGAAAAGTGATTCCTGAGATGAGGATTTGACAGTAACATTCTGGTAGCGTCCCAAATTGTACGATTATAAGAATTGTAGAATTTATGGTAACAATCAATAAAACTCAAAACCGCTGCCTTTAGCTTTTTCACATAAGGGCGCCTTTGATTCTTCCTGTCCTTCCGACCATATACAGGTGCGACTGGCTTTAGCTTTTCCTTTTCCGTTTTCTTTCTTAAGCATTAATAACATAATATACCATCAAATGTCTAGTTCATGCTGAGAAGTTTCCTTTTACAACGTGTTGACGATGATTAGAATGATGCAAGTGTTGAACTATGTTTGGAGACAGACAGAAAGACTCAAAAGAGGCACTGATGCAGGTGACAGGTGGTCAACCTGTCCTCGACAAGAAAGCTTTATACCTAGACCTATCCCTCTTTATATGCAGAAAAGCAATGGCTTGTGTTTTTTCCCTGGGGTTCAGGATAAGGAAGTTATGAACCCTGGAATTTCAAAAACCTACTCTCTTATCAGCTACTCCTTTAACTATAACTCAGGTTATGAACTACTTACCGAATTTTCATTCTTAACAATTCGAACGCTCAAACAATCTTCACTTTTTAAGTCTCACGATCTCGCTCGCTCGTCACCTTTAGAAAGCTAGATTTCCTTCCACTAAGTGATAATCATCTTTCTCGTTCATAACGCACACATAATGACATATATATTTACGAATTTGAGGGATAAACAATCAAGAGCGAAGAGGAGCATAGTACAAAGTATTCTGAAATAATTATGTGAATTGAAGGCTGTGGCAAGCTTCCTTCTGGAAATTTTCAACGTTTTTGTTTCAATCCTTCTCTCCTCCTTGTTAAAATGCAAAACAGCAAGGACGCCGGTCCTCCCAAGGAATAGCGCTGCAGTTAATTGACTTACATAGCTGGCGCGATCAAGTGCGGAATCGTGAAGATCGAAAATGGCGAAGAAAAATTTGTTTCACAGTGTCCGTTTGTTTCCCAGGCGTCTAGTTGCCACCCTCTTTCCCGGCTGCCCTCGATCATTCACATTCAAGGTGAGTTTAGACTAGGTCATCATTTCAGACAGCTTTTTGGTTTTTCCCTTGCAGATGATAGGATGGATGAGTAAACATAAGTTGACCATTTATTTTTTCTAGCGAAGGCAGAAGCATTAGCCTAATAAAGGATATAACAAAATGATTGATACATTACCACAAAGGATACTGTTTAGGTATACTATGATCAACCAAAAGTCGTGCATGAAGTATGAGATCAAAGCATTGCAATCGTCTGCTGAAAGGAAGGTAGCTATATTAAGAAACCATGCTTTAAGGTTTATTAGCTAATGCTAAGAAACCATGCCTTGTGGGTTTATGAGTTCAAAAACTTTTACAAACGCCAAGGAAAGAAAATTGACAGAGTTCTGGAAAAAATAAGTGAAAAATTAGAAAATATGAAAGTGAAAAATGGGAATAGGCTAACGCACATGTCGTCCTTTGACTTTTTCTTGTAACCTTAACAACATAATTTCTCTATGAAATAAGTACTTTAGAAAATAGTTCTCATTCTTCCACTCTCTCCGATTACATTATTCGTCCAACTTGACTTCTAACTCTTGCTTGTACAGATTTCCTGAAGGGCTAGGGAGGGAGACAAGTCGAGGAGGTTATGCCTTAAATCTGACACGACTTGTAGTACATATTCTCAACTACCCTTACTCGATACCATATGCTCCGCTCATCTTTAAAGGGGAGGAGGATGGTAGTGAAAACTAGGAAAAGCTAGGCACGGACGTTGTGTCACACCGTTCATTTTCCTAAGCAAAAGTAGATTAAAAAAGCTTGTAACTGACACGGTCTTCTCCTTGACTGGTCGCCGAATAATCCCACCCAGACTTTACATGCGTCGCAGTGTACTACTACCATACTATTTTGCAGTATGTTGGAATAATTAGTTAGCGCTGCATTGACAAAGACGAAATGATAAGCACGAAAACATTATGGTCACTGAAAAAGCCGGAACTCGTTTTGAGGAAAAAGTGTTGGTATGTTTTGTTATCAGCTCTGCTGTGTTAGTCAGTGTGTCATGGTTGACATTAACTTAGATATTTATACCACTGAGATGTGATTTACACGTCCAAATCATAAGTAGGGAAATTTGAGATTTGAGAAACATAGGATGTGCAAATGAGATCATGATAATGACACATATAGTTGATAAAGTACTTCATCGTAAATTGGGACCAGATATCAATGTTGGCGGAAAAAAAATCCAGGTATGAGACAGATCTAGAGTCAAGTAGGGCAAAGATGAATCATCAATGATGTCTCAAAATTGAAGATTTTTTCTCCAACAGAAGTCTTGACCTATCAAATAAAAGATAAATGTATGTATATGAAGTAGTGTAAGTGATGATTTACCTTTGAAAGCAGTGTCCCACCAGACTGGGGGTACCCGGCTCGGTAGTAATTTCATAATAACCCCCTAACTAAGCGACGACAGAAGTATGCAGCGCGAAAGGGGGTATAAAATCTACAAATCCCCCCCCCCCCCCCCCCAAGTGACCCGGATCAGGGCTCGGCGGAGGTGGCGTTTTCACACGCTGGATATCGTTTTTTAGGGGGAAAGCAGAAGGTAAATCGTAATGTTGCCAGGGGTGTTACCCAGATCTGACAAAATGTTCGCAAGCAAAATGGCTTAAACGTCATTTTACCAGTAGCAAGTAAATTTACACGTTACAAAGACGATTCGTGCATAAACTTTTCTGCACACGATTCCAACGTGTTAAGACACGATCTTCATGCACAAAAAGTAAATAATCAGTTCGTTTATTAGGACTAAGCCGATATTAAGCCAAATTTCTATATAGCTTTGCGACGATGATCAAAACAAATGCATGAAAAATTATGAAAACATTACGTGAAGAAAAGGAGTTGTAAGTGTTTTTCTAATTTAGGTAGCTCCCGCGCAAATCTGGGAGCACCCCGAGGTTGCGCGGGATCAAATAAAGTCATGATTTGCTCCCTTCCTCGCATGATTTTTCGAAAATTTTTACATAAATCTCTTTTTTAGTTCAGGTTCTACCTATACGCACCCGTGTTGACTCAAGTTTTATCCTCTCTGCTTTGCTATGGCCCTTAATGATATGAAAAACCTCGCCTCTCAAAGTTCTATCTCCAACTTTCCTGATCTTTCTTCACTTTTATCCATTCACGCTAAGCTGCACATTATAAGCCGTACTTTCTAAAAAACACAAAAGCTTATTCGTAAATTGCTTCATTGTCAAAGTGGATCTCGTTTCCAAGATTCACAAATGCCACCTCGTGCTGGGCCCTGACCCGGATCTTACAGTCTACTCCAATTGGGATCAGGCCGAATCGTGGGCGTGCATTTGCGCGCTCGCAGCGCTAGCGGTCTGTGCTGCATAGGCGCGCTGTCGGAGAGAGCAAAAGGACTGAAGAGAGAGCAGAGAAGCAGGCCGTGGGCGTGACCGCGAAACCCTAGCGACGCGGGCTCCCGCCATGCCAATTTTGGCCTGGTTAGGATTGGGGCAGACTGTAAGATGGGCTCAAACGAGTACGAGACGCGTGCAGGGTAGAGACGCAGAGTCGTTGCGGGACCCTGCGCTCATGACTGTGTGCGCTATGCGTGCTCTGACATTGCAGTTTGAAATTGTGTGGGCGGCGTCCGGACGCTTTCGGAGCACATTCCGGCTTGGTAGATCCCTTTTTGGTTCATTACTTCAGTCATCGTTTCAGTAGGAGGTCTGCTTTAACATCGCCACAAGAACCCAGCACCCATCTTTTTGCCGGGAGGCTGCCTTTAAGTATTAGGTTGTTGCAAAAATAATGTCCGTTTTGCAAAATTTCACTTTGAAAAGCTATAACTTTGTTCAGTCTTCATATTTTTGAATGCAGTCAAGACCATCAGATGCAGTAAACATTTCGTAATCTAAGGCGCACCTGCATATGCTGATATCGCAAACGGGAAGAAAACCATGCGTTAGAAAACCAAAAGTTTTGCTTTTGAAAACCTCGTTTTTGAAAGATTACAAATTCCTTCAAGTTTTGTTGTTATGGCTGCTAATCAGCTTATTTTGTAGACTCAACCCAGCAGTACACGTTTGTATGAAAAGAACTTTAGCGAAGAAGTTCTGCGAAATAAAAAAGATAGAAATCCGAAATTGTTCACGTTTTTAA